GTTTCTAACGGAATTTTTACCAGGGAGTGGAGGTGAAGTTTCCCCAGATAAAGTCTCCGCCGGTTGGGTCGACCTGAACGTTCCCAAGAACGGAAGTGAAGATCTGTTACTCCTTACGATAACGTGCGTTCACAAATTTTCAGGGGACGTCTTCGGGCAGCTTCTGGCTGTAATAAGTCTAATACCCTTCGCCATCGTAGCCGGTTTTCTCACGTTGATACTTTTTAGGAGGGATTTACACACCGTAAGTCAATCGCCGACGCGCAATGCCGATCTAGCTTACGGGTGCCGCAAGTGTGAACCACGCTCTTCGTTTGCAGATCGTGTTTTTTATCGGAGTCGCCGTCAATGAATCTATAAATTACGTACTGAAGCACACGATTCGCCAGGCGAGGCCGCTGAAGAGAGACGGCCTGTACGCCGAGTATGGCATGCCGTCTACACATGCACAATTTATGTGGTTCTTCGCTGCGTACGCAACACTTTTTATATACTTTAGGTAACCGTGCGTCCGTGAATCGTATCGCCTGCAATCGTGTCGCCCGCTCGACTCACCCGCGCGTCTCTTTCTTTCCGCAGATTAAATTACAATTGTACGATAGCCGAGAGATTTTGGCGGACAATAGTAGCGATAGGATGCATCGTCACAGCCATACTGGTGACCTGCAGCAGAGTGTATCTGCTGTACCACTCCAACACCCAGGTATTCTGCGGTGCGCTGATTGGGATTGCGATGGGGACAGCGTGGTTCATAACAATGCACACGGTCCTGACGCCGTTCTTTCCTATAGTGGTCTCGTGGTGAGTAGTGGGAAAGCAGTGTGCAGTAACAGACGAACGTTCCCTATTACGAGATCGGCTGATACGAGACAGCGGAGTTTCTGCCAACACGCGGAGAGAATTTTCTCTTGAAATTCACTCCAGAAATCGTGTGATCGCGGAACAACGTGGCATTGTGAAAAACTGTATAAGAGTTTTTATTTTACCACACATTTTACTAATAAAACGTATACTGAGTTTACTAGTAATGTATGGTAAACATTTCAAAAAGCTCTCGTGAAACTCCTCGGAAAGCCGCGCTGTCCCACGATTGTATGATTTACAGGCTAAATTTTGAGAGAAAATTCCGTGTAGGCATTACCTGTTGGTCCCATCATGAATTTATTCATCATGTAAAAATACAAGGTGAGACATTGCGCACGTAACCGATTTGTGAGGCAAAGTATTCAGTTCTTGCTACATTCGACCGCGATGATTTGCAATTTCAAGGTTTGGGGCAAAGTTCTGGTTTGGTCACGAGTGCACATCCGCGGGGATGTTACACCTGGTATTCTGGCATTGTGAATTTATCGAGGGTGAAATCTGTTCGGTGGAAAATTGATTGTTAAGTCGTGTAATTATCGCGATGAAAGATCTGGAAGATTGATAGCCCATCTCGTAACAGGGGACTTTCTCCTGTCGGCAATAAAGCAACATTCGTCCCTGTTCTAATTTCTGCTGTCCCTCAGGCGGATATCGGAGTTCTTGTTGCTGCGCGACACGACGCTGATCCCTAACGTTCTGTGGTTCGAGTACACGAACATCCGTACGGAGGCGCGGGCACGAGCGCGAAAGCTATCGGCGATCGGCAGGTCGCATTGACAACCAAGTACGGTCGGCCGACGGGCCGATATTGCGTAACAAATGCCTTGCTGACGAACGACTCGAGACGTCAAACATTCCCGCAGTTCTACCGCGTTCGAGGTTCAACGCGGAAGAGACCGCGTTCGAAATATTCGATCCAGATGCGGTTTCACGAATTCCAGCGCAAACGCGAAACTGACCGTCGATCGCGACACGATTGTTACCGTTCTGCATTGTCATTCAACGTTGTCACTCGGCGTTTATCATTCAACATTATGATAGTTATCGTCTATTATTGCGACAATTTTAAATATTTTTAGAAGCAGTGGAGATAATCGAACGTGGCGCAAGCTCGCGTCGATTCGCGACTGCTGGAAGAACAATGCCGGGAGGAAGACGATGGATACGACTGCCGTTGTAACCAGACAGATCGCCGGCATTGCCGAGATGCAAGTCGTCAAGTGCGTTCGCGCGTCCGAGCACGATTGTATTCCCACAGCAAGTTACATTCTTTTTAAACTCTCGCAACCTGTTCAGCGGGATTTTGTACCGACTCCCAAGAGGAACGTACTTTGCTGGATCCTCTCACCGCGTGTTCCCGACACTTCATCAAGAGCGAGACAGTGGGACGCGCCGACGCTCGAATCGAACATTGCAACTCGGAAATTGGGCGACCAGTCAACAGCGAGCAGCGGTGAGGGGAAAGGCCGAGTCTCGACGAATGCGTTTCCGAACGATTGACACGCAGGAGCTTCATCAGCGGATCGTTGCACGATTCATTCAGCGACGTACTCGCGAAAATCGGGACATTCATTCGACGCACCGTTTGCGAGTCATAGGAGATATTCATTTTCCGAGTGACACGAGGGAAGGACTAGTGTAACAAGTTAAATTAGATGACCACTCGACTGGAGTACAAGGGGGACATTGTAGAAACCACTGGGTTGATGAAAACTAGTAGCACAGTACATTGGCGCGATATTGGGGAAATAATGTAAATCTAATATTCCCAACTTTGGTCCAATATTGTAAGATGACACCTCCCTCTTATTTAGTCCATCTATGCGGCAACATTCAAAATACCACAGCCAATATTTAGCAATGTAATATTCATATTACATTGCTAAATATTGGCTGTGGTATTTTGAAAACAGACGTGGTATCATTTTTCCTTCGAGCGAGGAAACCTGTAGCGAGTCTTCAGGTTCAGAAAAGAAAAACATTAACGAAGATCAAGTTATGTCAGAAGAATTTATGTGTATTTTGAAATTAGAAAAGAAAAACATTAAAGAAGACGAAGTTATGCTAGAAAAATCTATTAAAGATGACAATTTGCCATCGTATATTAGACCAATGTTGCCGAATAGATAGACTAAATAAGATGAGGCGTCCATCTTACAATATTGGACCAAAATTGGGAATATAATAGCGTTTTCGACTGGACCAGGATTAATCGCTCCGGGAGCGATTAATGACGTCACGAGTTTTGTTTTAGGTTACTAGACAAATAACCCAAATGCAACCCATGTTCGACCCATACCATTGCGAATTGATCCATCAGTGCTAAGAACCCTGATGGAAAAATTTTGCTGAAAATGTAATGAAATTGATGCAAAGTGAAATGAAAGTTATTGGAAACTTGTTGAAACCATTTCAAAATAAATCATAAGTTTCGTTATGAAATTCAATGAAATACTGTGAAATTAGATGAAAGTTAATTAATATTACTAAAAATTAGTGAAAAAATTTTAGAAATGTTGTATATTATGAAATTTGCAGAATTTAACTGAAAATAAATTTTTTTTATTTAATGAAAAATTGCTGAAATGATAATGAAATTGGGTCAATTGCAAGAGATTTTCAACCAAATTTCAGCAAATTTCATTACGTTTTCAGCAAAATTTTTCGATCAGGGAAGCTACGTTAGGTTACAATCAGGTTATACGTGCGTGTTTATTGTGGAACAAAGCATCCTTTGACGATAATAACGCGTAAGTTTACCAATAAACATTTCGATTTTATCATAAAATTGAAAAGAATATTGTAACTAGAACCTAATCCAGGTTCATAACCCATTTTCGGTCGAACATATGTTCCTAGTATCTTCGGGTTAATCGCTCCGGGAGCGCTAAAACCCATGTCAGTTCCAGTCAGTCGAAAACGCTATTAGATTTACATTATTTACCAATAGTGCCAACAATATGACTTACATTGCTACGGTCTAATATTGATATAATGGCCGGTATTCATAGTCGGTTCTTGTTTCAAAATCGTCCCAAGTGTTGTCTTAAGAGGCTAATACAGCTCTGTGATTGGTTGAAAACACATTAAGAGTATACTCAAGGTGATCTTAAATATAAGAACGGACTATGAATACCGGCCAATATTAGATCACCATTAGACCGATGTTCATATTACATAAATGTTGGCCGAAGCACTTCCAATATAAATCGAGTATTGTATAATTGCTATCGTACAATAATTTATTCCATGACTTTATATTGGGGAAATATTGGCCAATCTATTTCCAATGTAATCAATATTAGACCAGGGTGCAGCCAATGTTTAGCCAATGCACGGTGCTTCTAGGGGTGGTTTACGTTAGAGATAAAGTTGCAATACAACGCGACTCGACGGTGTACGCCTGTCCGTCGTCGAGTTGTCGTCATTCGCGAGATTACTGCCTGAAGAGCGTCCGAGCGTCATATCAGTCTTTCGATTTTCCTTTTCTTTCCACACCTGGTAAACGACCCTACCCTTACGGAAAGAACACTCAAGTTTTGAGTGTTAACACTCGAGTGTTTTTTTTTTCCCCGCAAGGGTAGTAGCCCAGTGCATTGGCTAGACATTGGCCCGAGCCAACCAAATGCTGGGCCAATGTTTAACCAATGCTTGGTCAATGCACTGTGCTACTAGGGGAGGGTTCTCGGGAATCCTGATTTCGAGAAGCGAGCACACGCGAGGACGGCGGCGTTAATCGTTAGTCGGATAGAAGTACGAGCGGGCGAGTACGTAGCGGCGTTACACGCGGTAGCGGTAGCTCATCTCTCTTTTCCTCGGCGTGAGGGAGAGAGAGAGTGAGGGACGTTTGCGCTTCGTCGGTGAAAAAAAACTCGACAATGAAGCAGCGCGCGGTCGGACACTAAGCGGTCTCGTGAGAATCCCTGTATAGAGAACGAGTCGTCTCGCCTCGCGACTCGGAGCGCATTTAATAAAATACGTATTGCCACGCACGACAGCGATTTCATTTATCAGAAACCTGCGGAAGCGGCGCGCGATAGCGTATCGAGTCCACACATTTCGGGAATTGTGTAAATTGGAAATACAATATGCAGTGTCGTACGATGCTTTTAATGGCGGGGGGGGATAAGTGGCGATTTAAGTATTTAAAAATGACCGCGATACACAGGAGAGTGTCTCACGGATTTCTGCCGCATCGTATTACAATTGTACATTGTTTTACATTTATTTAATTACATTTAAAAGAAAATATATAGAAATCTGTGTAAAGAGCAATTTTGCAGCCGGCCATTGGGCACGAATATCTAGATACGTCCGATCGAAAATTCCTAGTAACCCTAGATTCCGGAAGTGCCGAGGCATTTAATGAATCCTACGCGACAAAGCACAGGGAGCGTGGGAGACACACGGTGCAAAGGCGTGAGAGAGAGAGAGAGGAGGAGGGAGGGAGGGGGGTTTGGGTGTTTGCTGGGAAGAAACTCGCGATCGCGTGAGAGAGATCCCCCGACTCGCGAGGATGGACTTCAACGTGAAGAAGCTGGTGAAGGACGCGGGAGCCGCCCTCAGCAGGGTCGTCCAGGTAGGAACGTCACCCCTTGCCTCTCGTACCCGATCGGGACTGGTCGAGACGGGGCCTCGCGGCGAGGAAACGCGGGGCGCGACGTCGAGCCCGTCGGCGTGCGTCAACCGTTGACATTAGCGACGTTCGCGGGCGAGGACGATCGAAGGCGTCCGCGCGTCATCGGACGGCTTCCTCGGCCGCGCCTCGCCGCGGATTCCGCGCTCCGTTTCAGGCCCGGGTCCCTCGCGGCCCGGTCGATCGACACCGACGACGCGCCTCCGCGATCGAACGCGGACGCGTCACCTTGCCGCAACGCTATATCGGCGTCGCAGCGATGACGCGGACTTTGAGCTCGACCGTTGGCGACTATACCTTTCGGGGACACTACAGGTTTGTTTTCTATTCCTGCACTGGTGATCGCTGGTGCAATAAATTGGAGTGAGACATCACTGGTGCAATAAATTGGAGTATGTATATTTTCTCATTCTAGTAGCCTACCGCGCTAGAATTCACCGGTGCAGGAATGGAAAGCAAACCCTGTGTATCGGGACGCTCGTGCGCGAGAAGTCGCCCGAGAAAAGATTCCAGGATTCAGATCACGTTCGTTTTCGTGTCTTGCAGATGACGGAGGAGACGCTGGGCACGTCGGAGAAGACCGAGCTGGACGCGCATCTGGAGCACCTGGCGGAGAGAGGGAACTCCACCAAGACGTGGACGGAGAAGATACTGCGGGACATGGAAGCCGTGCTCACTCCGAATCCCGGTATCCGATGCCGCTCGAATTGATTAAATTTCAGCTTGATAAAGCGGCCCCTGACTGCCAATATAACCATTGTTGTACTTAGCTGGATACATTCTGTCTTTTTCTATCTCATTCTAAGACGATGCGTCTTGTGCAGGTAACAGAATTGAGGATTTCTTTTACGAGAAGATCGACAAGAGGAGACCTAACAGGTTGAGCAACTTGGAGTGCGTAGGCACCGATATGATAGAAGCTGGGAACGACTTTGGCCCAGGGATAGCTTACGGTTAGTGTCGGGAGGTTCCGTAGTAATAAATAGGGGTGTATCTGCGGGGAGGTAGGCACTAAGGCGCGCCACTTCTTAATTTTTCACGAGAAGAATAAGGGGCTTAGAACTAGACCAGGATTCGAACCTGAGTCATTCCGCTTGCTGGGCGAATGCTCTGCCAACTGAGCTATCCGGGCCACGTGTCTACGCGACGCTAGAGAACTTTGGTACAGGAAGATTCGATTTTAGGTAGCGCGTTAATCAAAGTCGGCCAGTGCCAGCAGAGATTGGGGCAGATCGAGAGGGATTTCATAGGGACCGCTGCCAATTGTTACATACAGCCTCTGAGGAAGTTCTTGGACGGAGAAATGAAGACTGTCAGCAAGGAAATGGCGATACTGGAGACTAAGAGGTGACAGAGCTCTTCGCTTATCCTATTCGCGCTAAAAACAAAAGACAAGTCTCGCCTCTAACGCTTAACGATTCTGATGTAGATTGGACCTGGACGCGTGTAAAAATAGAGTAAGGAAAGCGAGGAGCATGCTGGGTCAGCAGAGTGTAAGTACCGTTAACTGTCGATTCCGTTAAAAAAAATGTCTTCTATACGTTTACGATGTGTTTTGTCCTCCACACTGCTGCGATTTATAGGAGTCCGGCATATCACCCGAAGTGTTGCTCGATCAGGTATTGACGCAATAGTTTCGCTCGCCCTCCTGACTCAGAGACATTCAAGTCCGATACGATTAAGACGAAACGGGACTCTCATCGCTATTATTCAAATCTGTTACACTTCACAGATAATTAAAATAACTATCGTTGTCACGTACCCGCGATTGTTTGCATTGTCATCATAATATTCTCATTCGCTTGTACGCGTATATCCCTGGTAGCACAGAACATTGGCTGAACATCGGTCCAACGTTGGTTACATTGGAAATGCATCGGCCGATATTGTCCAACGTAGAGCCGATATTGGAATCAATGTAAATATTGCACGATAATAATCGTACAACATCAGACATATTGGAAGTGCATTGGCCAATATTGCTAAATATTGGCTAAATACGAGAAGGCGCCTATCTTACAATATTGGACCAATGACATCGTAATACTAGATTTACATTATTCTTTCGTATTGCACCAATACATTGTGCTACTAGGGATACAATACATAAGCAAGAAGAATGGTAATAACGGTTGCGGATCGCGAGGCTACGTACGAATCGTCTTCTCACGACGCGGATCCAGTAGCAATAGCTGCGTCTCGCGGCTACAATCGCTTTAGCTTCCCGACTTCGCTTTAGGGCTGAGCAGAATGGCCGTCTTGTACTTTTATTGCACGTCACTACGAGATAAAGACTGAAAACGTAAAGCGTCGACTTGGGAGAGTACAAAACAGCCGTTCCTCTCAGGCTCGTAGACAGCAAATACCGAGGTACACGTGGGAAGCAATAAATAAAATGTATACGTTGCTCACTCAGGCAGAGAGGGAGCTGAGGGTAGTGCAGTCGGAGTTCGATCGGCAAGCGGAGATCGTGAAGCTGCTGCTGGAGGGTGTCTCGAGCTCGCAGGCCGGACACCTGCGGTGCCTGCACGAATTCGTGGAGGCGCAGGCACGCCACTACGCGCAATGCCACGCTGTCATGCAGGATCTGCAGCGCGAGCTTGCCGGGTAAGTTCGCCGCCCACGCCGCTTTTCGACTTCCTTCCTTCGTTCTCTCAAAACTAATCTCTCTGTCTACTCTATTCATCTCTGTATTCGGCACATTTATTGTCCACGTACAGTGTTTTATTATCGCAACATTTCTGTACAGCTATCCCACTTTATGGTGATCTGAGTGAGTAATGTTTGACAAACCTTGAGAATGGCAGTATCGTTGATTGTGTTTAGATATTTCGATTCGTCAGCTCCGCTTCTCCTTGTAGCAACCGCGGGGGGGCATAGATTTGGGCAGAGAGACGCGACAAAATGTTCCGCGACACGAATGTCTCGCCGCGCGTAAGACGCGGCGGTTTGTGGTTTGACGAACATTACCCGTTACGGCCGGTTTCAACGAGCGCCGGTTAATCTTGAACCTTCAATAGGCGAGAATCAAAGCGGAATTGAAGCTCCAGGATGGCTCGGTCTCGGTGAGGCCGGTGGGTGATTAACTATACCAGATCTAATGCCGACACACGATCGCCGATCAGTCGCTTCCATATCAGCTTCCCGTCTCCAAAGCTTCGTAATATTCGTAGCAACAGAATGCAAATTGTTCTTTTCGTTATCTTAATTACCTCCCCGCTTCCTCTGGCCCTCGCGCAATCTGTTCCGAGTGTGTTTCCCTCGTCCCGGCTACACTCTATCTCTGCTTGCACGATTGGTAAATTGCAGGGCACGTCAACCGAGCCCTTTGCTGAGAGTCAACAGCGAGGAAGTGATCGAGCTAAACCCCTCGCCCACTCTCTCTCAAAACTCGCCCGTAACCGCCGGATCTGCCGCTTACGTTACCGCCACATTCGACACTGATACCAGTAAAGTTTAGCTTTTCAACCCTCCGGACACGAGGCGTCGGATCGTTATGAATTTCGGAGTCCCGTTGGCAATTTAATTGACGGATCTACGTTAGCACGATTACGCAGTTTTTCCCCCTTTTCCAGCGACGTTCGTTGAAACTTCACTTCACGTACGCGTTAAAAAGCTTGGCCCCCCGACCGTCGCTTAATCGTTGCAGCCTTGTTATCAAACGAATACTCTATAACGTTGTATAATTGTATATTTAGGCGAAGTAGAGAATGGACGAAGCAATTTCTTCTCGACGAACCTCTTTGTGAACGATTTACGGCGATCAGTGCGGTTTACTCTCATCTTTACCTTCTTCTACTGTTACTATCCTCTCGTTGTTCTTGTCCTTGAGAACAGTTGCTTTGGATCGCCGTAACTCGACCGAGAATGGCCATAGTGGTAGGGGAAACTAATCCACGGTGCTATAACAACGCCATGTAACTAAACAACGACATAATTGTATAGATACATATCACGCTTTTCTTGGTTGTATACTAGAATGTCGATAATCTGCCTATATTATAATATACCGCGGGGGGGAGAGAGAGATTAAAATTCCCGTCTCGTAACATCCGGGGCGAACCGTGTAACAATCGACAATGCATGCGACTGAATCGGTAAAAAATTCAAGAGACACGCGCGCTCACGAAACAACTAACAAGATGGCTCGAATACGAGACTCGGGCTCTTTGAATTGCATGCATACTAACTCAATTCGCCACACAATCGAACACTTCTGTCATCTCGCTCGCTGTAACGAACCCGTGGAATCCGGCGGTGAGTGTGTGTGTGTGTGTGTGCCTGACGAGACGAATATTACAATACGTTCATGTTGACGTTGCGTGGCAGTGACAGTCCTCAGTAAAAAAGTTGCTTACAAGTTCGGTTGTGTCTTCCTATCCCCGCGCGACTATCCCCCTCGTACACGAGATTTATTAAGGATAAGATCATGGCACTGTAATTCACTTGTCGTTTACCTACCCAGACTATCTGGGGGTCCTTATTACACCACCCCACCAGCCACCACCAACGCACTAGCCGAGAACGGTCAGGACAGAGCGAGAGTGTTGTGCAATTACGACGCGAGGGACCCTAGCGAGCTAAGCGTCTTGCAGGACGAGGTAACCAAGTTTGTGATTTAGGTACACGCGACAGCATGTTTGGCGATGTCTCGAGCGAAGGGCATGAATCTGTAGTCGGATTAAGTTATGATACTGTGTAAGGTCACCTACTTACAGTCTCTTCTTCTTCTTCTTCTTTTTGACCACTCTGTATAAATATGTATTGTAGAGAGATTTTCTTTTGTATCTTCCTCGGATCGCCGTGCGAGACTCGTTTTAGGCTTAAATCTTTCGGGACCGCCGTTCGACCTGTTTCTCGACTTAGGCTCCGTGGAGAACGATTCGGACCCGGCGCGTCCGGAGAGAGATCCGTCCCGAAAGAATTAAGACGCCGCCCCGAGATGTTCAACTTCTTTTAACACGCGTTATAGAGTTAAGTATTCGTTATTATAAGTACAGTTTTTTTTCTTCTTTTCAAATCGAGACGCTCGCTACATATATACTTGCATAACTTGTAAGAGCTCTCTGTTAACACTAACCAACGCTGTACTGATGCATTTAATTTCAAGCAGCTAATATGTCGTTAACTCGCTGAAAGATATTACATATTGTTCTCGAAGGAAGGCTTGAAAAAAATTCGTATTCTCACGTATTGTCAGAGAGAAGGAAAACGGAACGTTGAAACTCACGATACACTCTTGCGTTAATATCGGTGGGGAGAAAAGTGGGGGAAAGTTATTTCTCGAATGAACGCACGGCTAGATGGGGAACAAGGATAATAGCGATTAGCAACGTTAATAGGTCGTTCCGCGGAGTTTCGAGAATCGAATGAATATTGTACGTGATCCTTTAAAGAAGTTAGCCTTGTCTCACGATTCACCGAGTTGTATTGTGCATGATAGACATTGGTTGTATCGTAATTTTCAATCTGTTTTAACTTACATTTGCGCTTTCTTACATTCACTTTCTTTTAATCGATGTGTCGCTAGCATATCACGTGTCACACGTCTCCTCCACGTTTACAGATTTGTAAGATAACACACGAGTACAGGACACATCGCGAACGGATCGTATCGTACTTGCGCGTGGACGGAGTTACTGTATATTTATTCAAATTGTGCATGTATTATGAAATAAACGCCTACCGTTTTACTTTGTTACGAGCATTTTATTTATTGTGTCACGACTACTTTTCGTCTTATTGTTTTGTACGCTTATCTCGATGTGTATCTATAGTGACGCTACAGAGAACGCGTGCCTGTGTACCATAATCAATACGATGTACTAATTAGACTGTGTACAAAGTTATACTTTAATAAATTGAATATATCTTGAAAGAAAGAAAGACGGGAGACACGTGTGTGTTTTTTCTAGGTAATCGGTATTTATGAGATTCCCGACGACGACGATTACTTCATGGGGATCCGAGGCAATCAACGAGGGAAGGTGCCCAAAGTATACTTGGAGACGCTTATTATACGTCATTAATGTCAGTTAGAAGCTATCGTCTATTGTCAATTGCATTTCTAGAGTCAATTTAGCGCACTCTGCGCTCTCTCTCTCTCTCTCTCGCCAAGTTTCGTTCCTTTCAGCTTGCACTAGTCTCGAAACAATAGCAGTCTTACTTGGCTTGAAAAACCCGTTACTTCAGGAACAAGAGATTATTATCCCGGCGTGAATAAATTTACTAGTCTACGAACTAAAAGCACAGCACGACACGATGGAATTATTCTTGTATTCAATATTGTGCCTCGCAATCGTGAGTCGCGGCCGTTTCTCTTCTCACGACCGGCACCGCGCGCGGTCGAGAATAAAAACATTCGCCACCGTTTAAACATTTATTATTAATAGCACATAATATATGTATAAAAGTTTACTTCTTTTTCGACACACCCACCGTACGCCCGCGACGACCAGTGGTCTTGGTGTGCTGGCCGCGTACACGGAGACCCCAGTAGTGACGCAGACCCCTGTGAGCGCGGATCTTCTTCATCCTCTCCAAGTCCTCGCGCAGTTTCGAGTCCAAGTTGGCGCTCGTGAGCTGCAAGACGATACACACACACATACACACGAAGTGTTACAAGTACCTTGCGATTTTATCAATGATAGCGTAAGTTGTATGTAAATAACTTCATCTCTGTTGCACTCTCGTACCTGTTACTCGAGATAGGGAACACTACGAAGCAATACAAATGTACAGCAGTGCAGTCGCTATTGCACAAGCTACCAGCTGAACGTGCAATGAACGTTTGCACGTTCAGTCGTGAATTTGTGCGATGGAAATAGCACGGGACACCACGAGGATGGACAAACGATTGTTATATAAATCGTCGCCTGTATCTTTACAACTGAGTATCTCTATGCGTTGAATCTCAATAAATATTCTGCCCCACATATGCGAGAGACGCGTTTCTCTATGTGTACGCGTTTACATTTTTCGACAATAAAGCCTACGTGTTTCAAGACCCGATCTCTTTCCCTCCCGAGATAAATGCGTCGAGTACCTGCGAGTACTTTCCATCGACGATGTCCTTCTGCCTGTTGAGGAACCAGTCGGGGATTTTGTACTGCCTAGGGTTTGCCATGATCGTGACGATTTTCTCCACCTGAAAGCATTTTCCGCACGTCAGCGGCGTTCGTCGGTTCGCAGCACGAACGTGACGCGACAAGACACTCACCTCCTCCTCCGAGCACTCTCCGGCGCGCTTGTCCAGGTCGATGTCCGCCTTCTTCAGGACGATGTTGGCGTAGCGACGACCGACACCCTTGATCGCGGTCATGGCGAACATGACTTTCCGGTTGCCGTCGATGTTCGTGCCCATGACACGAAGAATGTGCTGGAACTTCTCAGGAATCACGAGCGACTGGAACAAAAGGCGTGCGCCACCGTGGTTATGCGTAACACTCGACGTCTAACCTCATACGCGACGCGCGACGACCCGCGAAGCCACTCGACGAATTTTTTTTCCGTCGGTCGCGTGGAGCACCGTTGGATCTTGGCGATTGTCGCGAGAGCGCAGGAAAATTAAAGCCGCGAGACTCGCCCGCGGCGACGCGAGGTTAGAAGCGCGACGCATCGGACGCTAACCTCCAAACGTCGCCAGGTCCGATTTTTCACGCGGCGTTTGTCAAAATATTCCCCGAGACAGATTCAAAATCGACGAATTTAACATCCCGCTCGAACACTCGGCGCGTGTCGCGCAAGATTCCGCGGTGAAGCTCGGATTTTACGAGGAACCCGCGTGGACACTCACCATCTTGCCGTAATGCTTGCCACCGAAAGACGGAGAGCGGAATGGAGAGCCGCGAACAACCGGAAGTGACCGACGAGCCTCGTATCGATTAGCGAAAATGGCGCGAGCCAAGTGAACTTTGAAAGCCGAGACACTTCGACCACACAAGGTTGCTTTCTTTTTAGCGAACGCAGTCGACACTTTTGACACAAATCGACAAATGTCGCTTTCCACTTAAAATGTAATTCAAACTCAATCGACACTTCTGCTCGGGAGGAAAGTTGGAGTGTATTTTTCGCAGACTGTTTTAAACGCGACTGATAAATGTTAATATCTCTCGTACGAGACGATCGAGATTCTCGTAGGAAATAATCGCGTTACGACAAGCGACGCGAAGACACGCGAAACGTCCGCCTCGCTCGATTGAACCGCACTAAATGATAGACTGTTTTCGACCGAGGTGTTTACGGCGCTACGTCATTTCGTGGAACCAGCGCCCGGCGTTCGACCGAGTTGTTTACGTCGCTCGGCCAAGCAAAGTCACGCCGTACGCAAGATCACTCACGCGGCAACAATCGACGCCGCGGCGTCGTAAACACCTAAAAACTGAGCGCGGATTCCAAGAAATGACGTAGCGCCGTGAACACCTCGGTCGAAAATAATCTGTTGAACCAAATCAGTCGACGCGTATTAGTCGAGCGAGACGGATATACCGCGATCATTTCCTACGCAACGCGATCGTCTCGTGCGAGAGTGATTAGCATTTATCAATCGCGTTTAAGTAATTATCGCGATCATGTCGTCATAATCTCTCGAACAATTATACGTACAAAAGTGCGCGTATAACATAAAGTTTCCATCTTCGTCGCGTTCGGGAGTGCCGTTTAAATAATTGAACTAAAGACTTTCCAAAGCTCATTTGAGGAACAAGTGTTCGCTAAATGTCCGCTCCTGTCGACGGCCACACTTCTGAGATTCGGCAGTTTTTCGGGTAAAATACTCGTCGACTCGAAGTGGAGGCGAACTTGACGGAACGAAGTACGTACTTTCAAATGGGCTTTACAACGGGAGTGTAAAGTCGCGCGAACGATCTTTGTGTTTTCGCGAGTGTGCCAGAGACAATCCCAATGGAGTAGGAGGCCTAGGAGAGGCATCGGGCGCCGGCGGAGCAACTTTACGGTAAGAACCTTTTATTTAGTGTAAAATTAATCTTCTTTCCAGTTCACTTGTTAGTCGTTTTATTTCATAATTCTATAATTTCGAAACAATAATTGGAGAATAAGAAGTAATTAAAAATTTTAATAAAAGTTTATTCTTGTGTAGATCTTTTGCGGAAAATCTCATGCGCATTAATCATTTAAATATCAAACCAAATAAAACGTTTAATACGCATAAGAATTACTTATATTTTATAATATTCATTTTCTTCAACACTGCTTTAATAAATTATATATTTGTTTGTTACAGAATCAACATAGCAAACTCCGCTGCATCGGGTGGTGAGTCAGAAACTGTTTTATTCAGGCAACGAATCTACATCTTGTAGATCGTAGATTGTAGATTATAGATCGTAGATTAGTGTATCTCGTAGGTTCGTTGCCTTAAAATGGATAGAGTACACCATAACTTCATATTTATTTTAATATACTCGTATTTCATCTATCGAAGGGAGTAATCGCGATTTTCTCTATGGAGGGTTGGGTGCCTTGTTGCAGCACATCACACATTTCCACGCAAAATATGACGAATATTATTGATATATTCGTCGAGCTAATCTCTTGTAACCTATCCATTTTTATTAACAAATTTATATATAAAGTAAAATAATATGACGTGAGATTCTAACATTTTGTCAAGACCGCTGAAACTTTATATTATTTTCATACATCATTTGAGATTATTGGTTGACCAGACTAGAATATTCAATTGTCGATCTATCTGTCGTACGGAAAGTTTCTTTTCTCTGGGTCTCACGTCATTTATTCTGTACATGTATCTCGCGATACACTTTCAACATGCGTTTCGCATAAATGCACGCAGTTATACGCATCTTCGTGTTTTCGCGGTCGGTCTTCGCGATCAGATTTTTAAAAAATGTTCAAGAAATTATTGTTTAATTTCATCCATATCATAAATTTTAATTTACCGCGAAATATAATTTAAATAAATCTAACGCGAAGTAAATTGTTTTTTTCTATATACATATACTTGAATTTCGAATTTAAAGCTTGAGTCACGAAGAGACAGTCATTATCTATTCTCGAATAAATAACGGAAGTAAAAATATATTTGATTAGTTTTATACAGCACAATTTTTTAATTAATTTTCTTCCCTAATTAACTTCTCGTGGTCGCGCATTTCGATACGATCGACGCTCGCATATAGTTCGAACCGTACGAAATATCTGTCGGTGACGATAATAAACCGACTATGGAAGGAGTTTTCTTCCTTCCTGATCTCTGGTCAAAATGACCAGACTGTATGGCCAGGAACAACGAAAGGTATGTCCAATCTGGCCCAACGAAGGGATACGACGAGGTAAGTGGTCAATATTGGCCACTTTAATGGAGTATGCGAGTAAAGTGATTTAGTTGATTTCTTCTTATTTGTCAAAATTCGGGTGGGTTATATTCTTATCGTTTTTACATATTCTCGCATATGTGCAAAATTAAAAAGATTCCCATTAAATCGCGCGTAGAGAAAAACTTAAGTCGTGAAAGTCTATTGTATACGACTTAATTACTTTTAATTTCTCTTTATTTTTTATATAAAGTCGACTGTCCCTGGCTGTGTCTTTATGTGTACTTTAATCGTGTGGAAGAATTTTGCAATTTTATAAACCCAATTTCAAATTTAAAACAAACTACAAATTGGAAATTTCAAATATCATTCATTTTCAAATTTCAAATACCATTCAAATACCTAACCATTTTTTTATTAGACTTTTGAATTGAGTGTTTTAAGTATAAAAATATTCTGTTATACGGTCCGTAATTATCCTGGTATTTGCGTATAAAAGCTAATAAGAAAAGATTTACAAGCGCAAAAATTATATTCGACTGTGTCGGTAAAAGTGATGCGTGGTGCGAGATTCATATGATCGAAGTATTCACGAAAGGGTGAAATATCATGGCGTTTGTATTTGCGTCGAAAATTTTATTTCAACAATTGATAATATTCCAAATTTGAATATTCGAGACCTGTTCGAGTCAATAATCACAAAAATTTACTCAGGGTCGATAATTCGGCCAACCTAAGTCATAGAATTAACGAAAGATCTCGCCACTGTACACTAAAGTCTCCCTGCTTACGATAAGACGTAAATCATAAACGTAGATAGCACACAAGCTTTAACGTATGTCGTACTTACTCCCTGTTATGTGTACACGACAGTAAATTTGCGCCAAAGCGCTACGACTTAGGGCCATCGCACACAAAATTGCACAGCTGCATGCGCATAGCATGAAAACCGTTTAAACCAATGAACATCTAGCATTGAGTCGCCATATTGATTTACATGACATGCTGAGTGGTCTAGACGGTCTTGTATGTCTGTTTTATTATATCACACTTAAGATTGAAAGAACACAAACATAAATGTGAAGTAAGTTGATTAAAACTTAAAATTTCGAGTGGACTTTTTGGGACATGTTAAAAATGTTAACATTAACATTGGTCTAGTTTACACCGTTAAATCGGTTGGTGCGCACATCAAGTTGGTACGGACTAAACATTTGATACATCCCTGTTTACACCATTTCGTCTCAAAACAGGTTAGGTTAGATTTTTAATCTGGATAACGTAAAATCAAACTTCTACCACAATATGCTAAACTGAACCATACTTCTAACCTCAATCTAGCAGGAATGCCGGGTATAATACGACCCAAATCGAATCAAGTGTTTACAGCGCCCTAAAGGCTGGTCTACAATACATGGAGTAAGCTGGAGTAAGCTGGAGTAAGGAGTAGGAGTAAG